AAAAAAAAAAAAAAAAAAAAAGAGATGAGGAGACTCAAGATGGCTGAGCGTGGCTGTAATTTTCTAATCTCTCAATTCCCTAAGAACAATGAAGAGGTGTTACCCAGAGCAGCTCTGTCACCCAAGCCCCAAGAACAGAGGAGCTCCTGGGCACTGATGGGAGTCCCCTCCACCACAGTTAGGGTTGTGCCTGTGGAGGTGCATCTTCTCAGGACTTTCTTTTTTTTTAATTTTGAGATGAAGTCTTGCTATGTTGCCCAGGCTGGAACGCAGTGGTGCAATCTCAGCTCATCCTCTGCCTCCTGGGTTCAAGTGATTCTCCTGCCTCAGGCTCCCAAGTAGCTAGGATTATAGGTGTGCCACCACACCCAGCTAATTTTTGTGTTTTTAGTAGAGGCAGGGTTTCACCATATTGGCTAGGCTGGTCTGAAATTCCTGACCTCAGGTGAACCACCGGCCTTGACCTCCCAGAGTGCTGGGATTACAGGCGTGAGCCACCGTGCCTGGATATGGACTTCCTTGCTCTAAGCACCAATTTCTCAGAGGAAAGCCTGGGAGTGCTATAAGCTGCACACTGGCTCCTGTCTGGGAAAGCAGAGCCCACCCAGCCCAGTATCTAGGGCTTTTACCCTCCCTAAAACACAGCCCCTCCTTGGGCTGGCACCACCTGAGGCAGGGCCATCTGGGCAGACTGAAGGGAGAAGGCATCACGGGATTTGAGAAAGGACCTGGGAGCAATTTTCCTCTGGTCATCTCTCCTCTCCTTCTCTCTCTCTCTCTCTCTCTCTCTCTCTCTCTCTCTCTCTCTCTCTCTTGACTTCTCAGGGAGATCAGCTTGGCCCTGCTCCATCTGCAGCACCGTGTGTGGACGAAGCATTGACCTGGGAATCAGGATGCGTCGGATCTGATCTTGGCCCTGCTGCACGCCCTGTGCAACCTTGGGCGAGTCACTTCTCCTTTCTGGGCCTCACTTTCTCCATCTTTGGAGGAGGAACATGAACCCATTCATTTCCATGGCCTAGCACCAACAATCCTAGGATGTGGGGTTTCTCACATCCAGGATTCTCCTGAACTGAGGCTCCAGCCTGGGTGGGAGGAGGAGGGCAGGGCTTCTGTCTACTCCTGGCATCCTTCCCCTCTCCTCCTTTCCCCCTCTCCCTGCCTGGCCTCTCCCCTCATCTGCTTCTCTGTATCTCCAGGGCTCATGGGAACACCTTTGCCTCTCTCAACAGGCCCTGCCCAGCCCTGAGGGCTGGCAGCAAGCAGGTCCTTTTTGGCCCCAGGTGCCTCTTAACTCCCAGGACAGAGGTGAGCCCTAATAAGGGGGTTTGGGAAATTGGGTCCTGGGAGGATTTAGAATTTGGAGTGGGGACAAAGATCACTCTTGGATCCATGGTTGTCATTAATGGGTCCCATTGTATTATGTTTAAGCCAAACAGACTTGGGGTTAAAATCCTGCCTCTTTATAGAACAAATGAAGGAAATCTACAAAAGACCTATTTTTTGCCCCTGGGTCTTTGTGGTTTAGCAAAGGTCCTGAGCCCTTAGTTGCCTGGAGGCTGGAGTCGCAGGAGCCGGCTGTCTGCTGCCTCTGTGACTGGGAGAGGTCGCTGCCTGAGGGAGGGACAGGGCATGCTGCCAGGCTCCAGGGGAGGAGCCCCAGGGAGGGAGCCTCTGGAGGTGGTGCCCAGGCTGTTCTCCTGCCTCCTGCCCTGTGCCCACCTCACTTCCTGCTCTTCCTCAGGTGACGGGGAGGCTGGGCACCCACAGGAATCTGGCCCCTGCGCCTTGGCTCACAGCCCTTCAAGGAGCCCAGCTTCTTCTCCAGAACGTAGCAGCCCAGAATCTGAGAGCAGAGGCCCTGGCCCCAGGCCCAGCCCTGCATCATCCCGGGAGGGCAGCCCGAAGCTTCAGCACCACAGCTCAGGGATTTTGCCCAAGTGGACACTAGAGGCTTCACACTCTTCACTCTTGGAGACGGTTGGGGAAGAGCCAAGTTTCTTGAAGAAAGAGGAGGCAGGGGAGGCCCCAAACCCAGGCGAGGAAGTAAAGAGTGAAGGAACAGTCCGGCTTGCAGAGACTGGAAACGTCCAGCCCGACATTCACCTGACTTCTGCAGAACAGTAAGTCTTGGACCGACTGGCTCTCATGCTCCTAATTATGGATGCATTTAAGAATATCCTGGGGCCGGGTGCAGTGGCTCAAACCTGTAATCCCAGCACTTTGGGAGGCCGAGGTGGGTGGATTGTGAGGTCAAGAGATCAAGACCATCCTGGCCAACATGGTGAAACCCCCGTCTCTACTAAAAATACAAAAAAAATTAGCTGGGCTTGGTGGTGCGCGCCTGTAGTCCCAGCTACCCAGGAGGCTGAGGCAGGAGAATTACCCGAACCCGGGAGGCGGAGGTTGCAGTGAGCTGAGATCGCACCACTGTACTCCAGCCTGGCGCCTGGCGACAGAGCAAGACTCTGTCTCAAAAAAGAAAAAAACCAAAAAAATGAAAAAACAAAACGAATATGCTAGTCTGGTTGGAGTGTGAGAAATGCACATGAGAATTAAACATACTCATATTTATTAAGCAAGGATTACATGAGTGGGCGCCAGGAAAGAGTTTTGAGAAAGACTGTAAGATTCAGAAGCATCAGAAACGAAAGAGCAGATAGTCATACACGTGAAGGTGAGATCTAAGTGTGTGGGGCAGGGCTTTAAAAGAAGCATCCATAGCTGGAGACCAGGAGAGGAGGAAGGGGAGGAGATGTCTAGGGAACCTGAGCAGGGGCATGTGCCTGCCCATAAAAAAGGGAGCCACGCTTGGCAGGCTAGGGAAGTGCAAGGTCAGAGCTTGGGATGTGGGGATTACAGACTGCTTTGAATTTGAGGAGGTATCTGGGAGGCATTCACCCAAGAACTTAGGCCTGGGGCAGTGGCTCAGATCTCATCAAGTGGAGGTTTGATGGAGACCAAGGGAATGGATCTTGGGGCCCGACATAGGATTGTGTAACCCCAGAACTGTGACCAGAAGTAGGAATAGGCCAACTGAGAAACCAACCTAGATGTCTACTTGTCCCAGAATGCAGCCTCAAGACTATCAGCCCCAGGGATCTATACACTGAAAGGGAGGTTCTGTTCTCTGGTTGGCTGAATGTGAGTCATATGAATGGGACTAGCAGAAACCAGCAGTGGTTCATGTCATGGACTTAAGGGTGCAGTCCATGCAGGTCAGTTGTGGCAAGGGTGCCATGAGCTCAAGGCCTTGAACGGTGGGGCCTGGAGGACCTAGACCCAGGCCCTCACCCAGGGAAGAGACAGAGTCGCAGCCAGACTGACTTAGCCTGGCCTGGGACCAGGAGAAGCCCGAGAGGAAGCTATTCATGCAGGTTTCCAGGTCTGGGGCCCTGCGCTTCCTCAGGTAAACCACAGGCACGTTCCAAGCTTACCTCACCTCAGGCAGCAGGCGCATCCCTCTGAGGCCCCCAGGGTTGTTTTTACCAATGCAAGGCACGTGGGATTGTCACCCCTTCCTGTCCTGCGGTCCTGCTATACCTCCTTGTCTCTTCCCCACCTCCCAGCTCTGTCTCTAGCCTCCACTCCTAGATCTGGAGCCAAGAGAGCTGTAAGGATGGGCTGAGAACAGGAAGCTAGGTGGGCCCTAGTAATGGCAGCAGCTGGGGGAGTCCTGGAGGTGGTCCTCAGCCTCTCCCTTCCCCCACCTAGCAGCCTGGATGACAAGAAGACTGGGTAGTGACCTGTGATCCAGTATTAACAGGTCCAGGCTCCGCCAGCTGACTCAGAGCCTCCGAGTCCAGCACTAAGACTCTCAGATGTCCCTCAGTCCAGTCGTTACCTGACTCTTCTGTTTCCCCCACTATGTTACAATCAGGTGTGGGATAGTCTACTTATTTAAACCTTCATTATCCAAGTCACCACAGTTAGGAAGTTGACCTGGTAAGCAGGAGTCAATCATAATATGAAAATGTTCCCTAATAAACAGACATATAACATTAGGCTTCACTTAAGCACCCTCTCCACCTAACACAGATGGGTCAAGGGCATTGCTGGTGATTTCTCACTGCCTTTTGAGGCTCATACACACTCCATAGTGCAGGAGAAACACAACAGAAGCTAACAGAAAAGTTAAATTACAAATCTTGTCAAAAAACCTGTGATTTCATAGCTCTGTTGAAGTGATGCTGAAAACTTCACAAATCACATGGAAAGCCACTGACAAATCAGGAACCAAAAGAGTTTGTCCAGTGAACAATGGAAGAGGAGGAAATAAAAATCATGACCCAACTGGCACATCTAAAGAGAACTACTTGAATAATCAACTGACAAAGCCCTAAAATATGCTTTTAAAAATGACCTAGTCTATTAGCGTTGTTACTAAAATAATACTTAGATGAGGGAGCACTTTGAAAAAAAAGTAAGCAAATATAAATTATCATAAAATTGTACATTTTATTTTATTTTTTGTTTCGTTTTGTTTTGAAATGGAGTTTGGCTCTTGTCATCCAGGCTAGAGTGCAATGGCAGGATCTTGGCTCACTGCAACCTCCCCCTCCCAGCTTCAAAGGATTCTCCTGCCTCAGCCTCTGGAGTAGCTGGGATTACAGGTGCATGCCACCATGCCTGGCGAGTTTCTGTTTCACCATGTTGGCCAGGCTGGTCTCGAACTCCTGACTTCAGGTGATCCACCTACCTCAGCCTCTCAAAGTACTGGGATTACAGGCGTGACCCCCCACACCAGACCCCACTTTATTACTTTATTTTATTAACTTGAATTTTCTTTTCTTTCTTTTTTATAATTTTTAGTTCCATAGCTTATTGGGGAACAGGTAGTGTTTGGTTACATGAATAAGTTCTTTAATGATAGTTTGTGAGGTTTTGGTGCACCCATCACCTGAGCAGTATACATTGCACCCTATTTGTAGTCTTTTATCCCTTATCCCCTTCCCACCCTTTCCCCTGAGTCCCCAAAGTCCATTGTGTCATTCTTATGTCTTTGCATCCTTATAGCTTAGCTCCCATTTATAAGTGAGAATATATGATGTCTGGGTTTCCATTCCTGAGTTACTTCACTTAGAATTGTAGTCTCCAATCTCATCCAGGTTGCTGTGAATGCTGTTAATTCATTCCTTTTTATGGCTGAGTTGTATTCAATTGTATATATATACCACAGTTTCTTTATCCACTGGTTGAACGATGGGCATATGGGTTGGTTCCACATTTTTGCAGTTGTGAACTGTGCTACTATGAACATGTGTGCAAGTACCTTTTTCTTATAATGACTTGTTTTCCTCTGGGTAGATACCCAGTAGTGGGATTGCTGGATCAAATAGTAATTCTACTTTTAGCTCTTTAAGAAATCTCTACACTGTTTTCCATAGTCACTTGACTAGTTTACATTCCCACCAGCAGTGTAGAAGTGTTCCCTGTTGACCTCATCCATGCCAACATCTATTTTTTGTTTTTTTAATTATAAACATTCCAGCAGGAATAAGGTGGTATTGCACTGTGGTTTTGATTTGCAGTTCCCTGATCATTAGTGGTGTGGAGCATTTTTTCATATATTCATTGACCATTTGTATATCTTCTTTTGAGAATGGGCTATTCATGTCCTTAGACCACTTTTTGATGGGATTGTTTGGTTTTTTCTTGTTAATTGGTTTGGGTTCATTGTAGATTCTGGATATTAGTCCTTTGTCAGATGTATAGATTGTGAAGATTTTCTCTCACTCTGTAGGTTTTCTGTTTACTCTGATGACTGTTCCTTTTGCCATGTAAAAGCTCTTCAGTTTAATTATATCCTTGCAATTTATCTTCATTTTTATTGCATTTGCCTTTTGGTTCTTGGTCATGAAATCCTTACCTAAGCCAATGTCTAAAAGGGTTTTCCCAATGTTATCTTCTAGAATTTTTATAGCTTCAAGTCTTAGATTTAAGTCCTTAATGTATCTTGAGTTGATTTTGGTATAAGGTGAGAGATGAGGATCCAGTTTCATACTCCTTCTTGCGGCTAGCCAATTATCCCAACACCATTTGTTGAAAAATATGTCTTTTCCCCACTTTATGTTTTTGTTTGCTTTGTTGAAGATCAGTTGGCTGATCAGTTCACCCTGTTGCCCAGGCTGGAGTGTGAGGTACAATCATGAGTCACTGAAGCCTCAGCCTCCCAGCTCAAGTCATCTTCCCACTTCAGTCTCCCAAGTAGCTGAGACCACAGGCATTCACCGTTATACCCAGCTAATTTTTACTTATTTTTTTTTTCTAGAGATGGAGGGGGGAATCTCACTAAGTTGTCCAGCCAGGCCACAAGGCTGGTCTTCAACTCCTGAGCTCAAGCAGTCCTCCCACCTCAGCCTTCCAAAGTGCTGGGATTATAGGCATGAACCACTGCACCCAACCTGCTATTGTTTTTAATGGCCTTTCAGATCTTACTGTGAAAATCAAAGCAGGAATGGAAGATGTCTTATCCAGCCTGAAAACTATGCAGGGAAAATTAGATTTTAGGCATTGTGTTTAATATAAGATTTAAATAAACTTATTTGTATAATGTCTAGTGTCATTTACCAAGATAAAGCCCCAATTAAACCTTTTCATTATTTACTATGAAAATATGTTCTCATTTTAGTTAGATTTACTTACTTCTATTTTGGGATGGGTGAACTTTAATTTTTGGCATGAAGAACCCTCCGTTTTCAGAGGCTGAAACTACTCTGGCTACCAAGCCTCTGAACCTCTCCGCAGGGCAGCCTAGTTTCCAGATGCATAAGGAAGGTGGTTCTTTGGTTTCTGGCACTGATCGACATTCTGTCACCATCACCCAAGGACCTTGAGATGGGAGTGGACCTCCAGTTAACCCTGACCCAATTGTGTTAGGTGGAGAGCGTGCTTAAGCGAAGCCTAATGTTACATGTCTGTTTATCAGGGATCTTCTTTTCTTTTTTTTTTTCTTTGAGACAGCATCTTGCTCTGTCACCTGGGCTGGAGTGCAGTGGTGCGACCTCAGCTCACTACAATTTTTGTCTTCCGGGTTCAAGCGATTCTTCTGTTTTAGCCTCCCGAGTAGCTGGGACTACAGGCATGTGCCACCATGCCTGGCTAATTTTTTAATTTTTAAAATTTATTTTATTTTTTTTGAGATGGAGTTTCGCTCTTGTTGCCCAGACTGGAGTGCAATGGCGCGATCTCGGCTCACTGCAACCTCCACCTCCTGGGTTCAAGCAATTCTCCTGCCTCAGCCTCCCAAGTAGCTGGGACTACAGGCGCACACCACCATGCCCAGCTAATTTTTTTGTATTTGCAGTAGAGATGGGGTTTCACCATGTAGACCAGGATGGTCTCAATCTCCTGACCTTGTGATCCACCTGCCTTGGCCTCCCAAAGTGCTGGGATTATAGGAATGAGCCACCGTGCCCGGCCTAATATTTTTATTTTTAGTAGATATGGGGTTTCACCATGATGGTCAGGCTGGTTTCAAACTCCTGGTCTCAAGTGATCCACCTACTTTGGCCTCCCAAAGTGCTGGGATTACAGGCGTGACTACTGCACCTGGCCCCCTTGAATGCTTTTATATTATGATGTCTTCTGCTTACCAGTTCAACTTCCTAACTGTGGTCACTTGGATAATAAATGTTCAAATCACTAGACTATCCCACATCTGATTGAATATTATGGGGGAAACAGAAGAGTCAGGTAATGATTGGACTGAGGGACATCTGAGAGTCTTAGTGCTGGACTCGGAGGCTCTGAGTCGGCTGGGGGCGCCTGGGCCTGTTCATACTGGATCACAGGTCACCACCCCAGCCTTGTCATCCAGGCTGCTAGGTGGGGGAAGGGAGAGGCTGAGGACCACTTCCGGGACTCCCCCAGCTGCTGCCATTACTAGGGCCCACCTAGCTTCCTGTTCTCAGCCCATCCTTACAGCTTTCTTGGCTCCAGATCTAGGAGTGGAGGCTAGAGACAGAGCTGGGAGGTGGGAAAGAGACAAGGAGGTATATAGCAGGACCACAGGTGAGGGAGAGAATCCCTGATGGCTGCATTGGTAAAAACAACCCTGGGGGCCTTACAGGGATACAGCTGCCCCATCTGAGGTGAGATAAGCTTGGAACCTGCCTGAGGAAGCACAGGGCCCCAGACCTGGAAACGTTGCATGAATAGCTTCCTCTCAGGCCTCTCCTGGTCCCAGGCCAGGCTAAGTCAGTCTGGCTGTGACTGTCTCTTCCCTGGGTCCAGCTCCTCCAGGCCCCACTATTCAAGGCCCTGAGCTCGGAAAACTCTTGCCACAACTGACCTGCAAGAACACTTGACCCAGAGCTCCTGCATGTCTACCTCAGGTGAGAGTCTGAGGACACCTATGATCTCTTCTAGGCTTCCTGCGAGCCCTATGCCCCAAGCACAGTACCCAGAAGGCCAGAGGCTGCCAGCTGGAGACAAGCTGTCTAATGGCATCAGGAACCAGGAGGTAGCCTGGAACTTGGCCTCCCGCCTCTATCGCCTGGAGGGCTTCCGAAAGTCTGAAGTGGCTGCCTACCTGCAGAAGAAGTAAGGGGCTTTGAGCCTGTGGAAAGCTGGAGGCTGAGGCAGCCAGGGAGGAGCTGCTGAAGGGCTCCCTCCACTGGCCACCCTCCCCTTCTCGTCCCTCCCCATCTCCCCTCCTAACTTTCCCCTCATACCCTCACAGCCCCTGCTACTTCCTGCCAGTCATGGTCACACCATGTCACCTCTTCTTCACACCCTTGGTCCTTGGGCCTCACTGCCTTGCCAACCAGACTCCACAGGTCTCTCCCAGTCTACGATGAATAGGGTACCAAGGCATACCAACCTTGGCTGCCCCCTTGTCCTGTTGGGACCCAAGGCCCAGCGTGCCTGCGCCCTTCCCTTGCTCCCCTCACAGCATCAGGCCCCATAACGTGTGCAGGCCCTGGAGACCCGTGTGCATCTGCAGCCCCAGCCCAGGCCCCTGATGCAGACTCCATCCCCTTTTTCCTTTTGCAGCAATGACTTTAGCAGGGCTGTGGCTGAGGAGTACCTGTCCTTCTTCCAGTTTGGAGGCCAGAGCCTGGACCGAGCCCTCCGGTAACGCCTTTGGGCCCTCTCTGGGGAGGCTGTGGAGGATGGTATGGGGCAGTGGCGCCGGCCTGAGGCTGGGATCTGACTGGCCCCAAGCTTCTGGGCTCTTTCCTTGACCCTGGCCCTCCTTGGCAGGGGCTTCCTCCAGGCCTTGGTGCTCAGTGGGGAGACTCAGGAACGGGAGCGAATCCTCTACCAGTTCTCCAGACGCTTCCACCACTGCAATCCGGGGGTCTTCCCCTCAGTAGGTAGGGAGGGGCTGGCCCTGACAGCAGGGCAGGGAGACTTTGGGGTGCCCATGTCTGCTTGGGAGTTTAGTAGGTGGCGGTGAACTGGTGGGAGTGTGTTGGGGGCTATAGATAATGGAAGCATTCCCGGGGTTCTGAGGTTACCCCACCCAGAGTGGGCAGAGGAAACAGGAGCCCTGATTCCAGCGAGCTTTCTCTCCACTCACCTATCTCTGGGGCAGATTCTGTACACACCTTGACATGTGCAATCATGCTCCTTAACACGGACCTGCATGGACAGGTAAGACAGTAGAGAGTCCCTGTGGGAACTGAGGCCAGGGCTGTGGCTTGGGGTGCGGGGAGGAGGAGACCAGAGGCCTGAGACTGGGCAGGGAACACCCCTAAGGGATGTGGGCCTGGGGAGCTGGAAAGGGTTCCATGATGGGTGGCTTAGGGGTTATTCTATTGGGATGGGATGTGTGCTCAAGTCATCCCACTTCTCTACATGGCCACAGAACATTGGGAAGAGCATGAGCTGCCAGGAATTCATAACCAACCTGAATGGCCTGAGGGATGGCGGGAACTTCCCCAAGCAGCTGCTGAAGGTATGTACCATGGGGTCTTCTTACGGGCTCAGGACCTGGGGAGCCCCATTTAGGACCTGGACCTGGAGCCTTGATTCTCTGTTCCAAGGGAGACGCTGAGCTTGGAACTGGCTTTGCCAAAATATCCTTGAGAGGACAAGGCTTATTTATTGCAGGGCTAGTAAAAGAGTTGTCCCTGGCTGGCAGCATCAGCAGCATCTTGGAATCTGTTAGCCATGCAAATCTGCTGGACCTACTGAATCAGACTCTCTGGGACTGGGAACCCCACAATATTTTCAAGTCATTCTTACCCTGTGATAGTCTGAGAAGGGCAAAGCTTCATTCACGTGGTGAAAGTCTGGAGCTTAGACTTGGGAGCCTCGTGTTCCTGGGTTTGAATTCTAGTCTTGGGCAATTTGCCCCTCTTGGCCAACTCAAGTTCCTCCTGAGGGTATTAACCACTTTATAATGCTATTATCAAGATGAAATAAAATCTGTCAAGTGCTCAGCATGGTGCTTGGCACACAGCATGTGTGTCATAAGCAATTAAAATGATTTGCTGTTTCATCACAGTCATGTATCACTTAATGATGAAGGTATGTTCTGAGAAATGCATTGCTGGGCAATTTCACTACTGTGTGAACATTATAGAGTGAACGTACACAAATCTAGATGTATAGCCCACTGCCCACCAAGGCTATATGGGATAGCCTATTGCTCCCAGGCCATAAACCTGTATGGCATGCTTCTGTATTTAATACTGCAGGCAGTTCTAACACAGTGCTGTATTTGTGTATGTGAACATAGAAAAGGTACAATAAAAATATGATACAAAAGATTAAAAATGATATACCTGTATAGGACAGCTCCTCCACAGTCTCATGGAACCACCATCACAGATGCGATTCATCCTTGACTGAACCATCGTGATGCTGTTATATGGTACATGACTGTATTTCATGAACATTTACTGAACACCTACTACGTGCCAGACATCTTGTTAGGCACTGCAAGGGCTGTCAAAGCAAGTGAGATACATCTACATTAACACTATTTGTTATTATTTCAAACTTTTAGTGCATCATTCACTCATTCATTTATTTACTGCACATTTATTGTGGGGATTGGTCAGCCAGTTTCTTCTCCATCAGATCCCTCCCAGCAGGATAGCATGTAGATAATTCATTTCTCCTCCAAGAGAACTAGTTAAACCCTCACTAAGCACGGGCAGGACAGAGACTTGTCTCCCTCGGTCATCTTTATGTTTTAGCACCCAACATAGGTGTCTGAGGGTGTCTGTCACTGGGAAATGCTCCAGAAGTACTTGTTGCACAGATGGATGGACAGATGGATGGATGGATGGATGCGTGGGTGATGGACAGATGGATAGATGGATGGATAGATGGATTGATGCTTGTCTACTCAAGGAAGACGTGTAGCTATATTAGGGGTGGAGGAGGCAGGCTGTACACATGCCCCTATCCTACCTCTGCCAGACAGAGAGTTTAGGTTCCATGGCCCTGAGGCTCCCCTGCCCATCTATGTGCTTCTGTTCCAGGCCCTCTACTGGTCTGTCCGCAGCGAGAAGCTCGAGTGGGCCGTGTGAGTGACAGCCCCTTTCCCCTCTCCTCCTCACCCCTCTCCCTTATCTTTGGGCTGTTCTCCCTCTGTCACCCACCCAAGTGTTAGGGGAATCTCAGATAATGTTCCCCTCTGAGTGGGGCAAAGCCAGAGGCAGGGCTCTGGGCAGAGGGCATAGAGGAGCCCAAGTAATACTGGAGGGCCAGAAGTAGTGGGACGCGGGGTATGGCAGAGCTCCCAGGAATTGGTTAGCTCTGAAGGAGAACTCCTTCTGGGGGGTCCTGGGGTGTGGCTCTCCAGCAAAAGAGAGGTTGCTGAGGCTCTGGGAGGCAACAGATACCTCCCAGTGGTCTTTCCACAGTCAGCCCTCCCAGCCCAATTATCTGATGTCCAGGGATGAAGAAGATGCAGCCAAACCTGAGAAGGCCCGGCTGTCCCTGCCAACTGGCAAGATGAGCAACCCCTTCCTTCAGCTGGCTCAGGATCCCACGGTGCCCACCTACAAGCAGGGCATCCTGGCTCGGAAGATGCATCAAGATGCAGATGGCAAGAAGAGTGAGTGTCTGCTGCCCACAAACAGGGTAGTATGCTGGGAGTGGCCCTGCTCAGGGACTTGTGCCGATGCATGCACAAGTGTGCAGAGAGATGGCTCTCGTGCAGGACAGGCAGCCAGCCCATGTTCCTTCCTCAGCGTGTGCTGAACAGTGACTATGTGCTGGCTGCTGCATGAGGCACTAGATGGCAGGTAGGAGAATCCAGACAAAACAGGCCTAGTTACTCCTGGCCTCTGAGTGGTAAGGTAAGAGATTAGACAAGTATGTCAAAGTCTGGGAAAAAAAGGGAGCAAGAGCTGAGTGTCTAGGGGCTGAATCAAGTGAGGAGAGAAAGGCTTTTGGTTTTGTTTTGGAGGTGGGATGTGGGGACAGGGAGAGGTAGCGCTTCTGGGACATGATGGTACCTGCACTGAACTTTGGAGAAGAGGGTCTGGATTAGGAAGCTGGGCAGGGGGCATCCCCCACAGAGAAAACAGCAAGCCGAGTTTGCTCAGAACATGGGGTGTGTGGAAGGGAGGTACACTTGGGGCAGAATTGCCAGGGCTGTGTTTGGGCCTCTTTCCCCAGGCAGCTGAAGGCTTTTGATTAGGGCAGCAACATGACCAGAGTGGTGATCTCAGTAGACTAACGTGCAAGCACAGATTGAATAGGGTGGGCCAACCAGGAAGGGAACTAGCATTGGCTGTGAGAAGCGACTGGGGCCCCAGGGCTGCCTTTTGCCTAAGCTTAGAATGGATCTCACCACACAAGACCAGGGTTGGGGGAGGTAGGGGGAAAAGGGGACAGATGGTGCTCAGAATAGGTTACACAGGGAAAGATACCCCAAGGCTGGGCCCTGAGCCCCCAAGCCCCTCTGGATGTGTATGCAAGTTCAAGATCATCCTGTAAGGACAAGAAAGCTGTCTGGGTGGAATTGTGTTTGTGCCTGGGTGTTTGCGCTTGGTGTAGTGGGTTGTGTGTTTGGAGCTAGAGAGAGGATGGTCTGTATGAACACCCCCATTTGGATGTGAGTGGTTCTATGGTTTTGTTTCCAGGCGGGATTGCCCGTGTATGGAGAGACTCTATATGTTTGTTTATGATTTTTTTTTTTTTTTTTTTTTTTTTTTTTTTGAGACGAAGTCTTGCTCTTTCACCAGGCTGGAGTGCAGTGGCAAGATCTCAGCTCATGCAACCTCCTCCTCCCGGTTCTAGTGATTCCCCTGCCTCAGCCTCCCAAGTAGCTTGGAGTACAGGCATGCACCACCATGCTTGGCTATTTCTTTGTATTTTAGTAGAGACGGGTTTCACCATGTTGGCCAGGGTGATCTTGATCTCCTGACCTCGTGATCCACCCTCCTCAGCCTCCCAAAGTGCTGGGATTACAGGCCAGAGCCACTGCGACTGGCAGTTGTGTTTTCTTGTGTAGGTATGTTCTGCATTTGTGTGCATCCTGGTGAGAGACTGGAGTTGGTGTGAAGGGCAGGGGGGCAGATGCACACTTGTGTGTATGTGAGTGTGTCTGGATGCGGGTGCCGCCACGTACATTTGTGTTCTGTTCCTGGAACAGCGCCATGGGGCAAGCGTGGCTGGAAGATGTTCCACACCTTACTGCGGGGGATGGTTCTCTACTTCCTGAAGGTAGGAAGGGAGACAACACCCCTGTCAGAATTGGAGACAGAGAGGCCCAGAACTGTCGGGAGGGCGGGCAGCTGATGATAACCTCTTCTCTGAGCCCTTGTGCCTGGTGGCAGGGAGAAGACCACTGCCTGGAGGGGGAGAGCTTGGTGGGGCAGATGGTGGACGAGCCCGTGGGGGTGCATCACTCGCTGGCTACCCCCGCCACCCATTATACCAAAAAGCCTCACGTCTTCCAGCTGCGCACGGCTGACTGGCGCCTCTATCTCTTCCAGGCACCGTAAGTCCCTGGGGTGGGAGACTGTGGCAAGGCTTCATCCTGCCCTAGTTCTTCTCTCACCTGACCCTGCAGACACCTGAGGCCTGTGGGCCCCGGGAGGCCCTGGTGGGAATGGCCATACTGATCAGAAATCCTTATAATGTGGCAGCAGGAAGAGGAGCTGGGGAGCAGGGATGAAGCCTGGGCATTGCCTGCTTCCTCCCCATCCTTGGCCAACTTTGCCAGCGCAATATGCCTTTTCCTTGCTGGTGGGATCAAGCCTCCCAGTTCAGAACAGAGGATTCCAGGAAGTTGTTAACAATTGACTATATTTGGCATTTGTTATAAAATCTATCGCCTTCCCAGATTTTCCTCTTTATTTTTAATATTTATTTATTTATTTATTTGAGACGGAGTCTTGCTCTGTCGCCCTGGCTGGAGTACAGTGGTGTGATCTCGGCTCACAGTAACCCCTGCCTCCCGGGTTCAAGTGATTCTCATTTGATTACAGGGGCGTGCGCCACCATGCCCTGCTAATTTGTGTATTTTTAGTAGAGACGGGGTTTCACCATGCTGGCCAGGCTGGTCTCAATCTCCTGACCTCAGGTCATCCGCCTGCCAAGGCGTAGCCACCGCGCCCAGCCTCCAGATTTTTCCCTATTGATAAGAAATGCCGTGGTCAGGGGTCGAGTACCCTGCAAGTGGCAGGGCTCTGACTGTAGGAAGCTGAGTCCTGGGCAGCTGGCCGGCTGTACACCCACAGGAGGGGCGGGAGGACGGTGACAGGACCGACCCTGTGTCCCGGGGACCAATGACCTCCTTTGCTCCAGCACTGCCAAGGAGATGAGCTCCTGGATCGCGCGCATCAACCTGGCTGCGGCCACGCACTCCGCACCGCCTTTCCCCGCCGCCGTGGGCTCGCAGCGCAGATTCGTGCGGCCCATCCTGCCAGTGGGCCCCGCCCAGAGCTCCCTGGTACGGCCTCCGGGAAGGGGTGGGGTGCGGTGGAATTGGGAGTGTGCACCTGGAGCCCCAGGACAGGAGGCTGGAGTGGGGCTGCGCACCTGGCTTGGGAACTGAGGTGATCAGATGGGAGGCACGCCCGGGCCTGGAAAGCCGTGCAGGGGACACCCGGGACAACGTCCCTCACCGCCTGCCGCTCGCAGGAGGAGCAGCATCGATCCCATGAGAACTGCCTGGACGCTGCCTCGGACGACCTGCTGGATCTGCAGAGGAACTTACCGGAGCGGCGGGGCCGCAGCCGCGAGCTGGAGGAGTACCGCCTGCGGAAGGAGTACCTGGAGTACGAGGTGAGGGGCCGAGCCCACCTCAACGCCGCTGCGCGGGACCCTCTCCGCCCTCTCGTGGCTGCCTCGGTCCCTGCAGGCGTCACTGACCTGGCCGCGCCGGGGCGGGTAGAGGCCCTGTGTGAGGGCGGGGCCCTTGTGCGCAGTCTGCAAACGGGCATGGGTTTCCATGTGAGCACCCGCGTGCACGGGCGTGCGCAGAAAGTGTGTGTCCCAGTGCACTTAGGCCCCTTGATCTCTCGTCCTGGGGGCACGTAGTAGTTGGTTGTCTAAACACTCACAGCAGACGTTATTTTATAGTTTTCTTTCTCCTAAGAGTATATTTGGCTTTTCCCAAGTTGAAGGAAAAACTATATTTTAGCTGAAATTGTTCCTTCTAATACCCACCAAATATTAATAGGTAGTATTTAGGGATCTTGTCTTCCTTGAATGGATTATCTCATTTAATTATCTATCTAAAAACTCTGGGTAGGTACTATTCTCCCCATTTTACAGATGAGAGAACTGAGGCACAGAGAAATTAAACTACTTGTCCAAAACTGGCAAATTTACATGCTGCTCCGAATGTCTCATTTATGGTCTTAACTAAGAACTTTTTTTTTTTCCTGAGACAAAGTCTCACTCTCTTGCCCTGACTGGAATGCAGTGGCTTGATCTCAGCTTACTACAACCTCCACCTCCCAGGTTCAAGTGATTCTCCTGCCTTGGACTCCCAAGTAGCTGGGATTACAGGTGTGAGCCACCACATCTGCCAATTTTTGTATTTTTAGTAGAGACAGGGTTTTACCATGTTGGCCAGGCTAGTCTTGAACTCCTGGCCTTGAGTGGCCTGCCTGCCTCAGCCTCCCAAAGTGCTGCGTTTGCAGGTGTGAACCACTGACTGCCCCTGGCCAGTAATGACTTTTTTTTTTTTTTTAGATGGAGTTCTGCTCTGTTACCCAGGCTGGAGTGCAGTGACGTAATCTTGACTCACTGCAACCTCTGCCTCCCGGGTTTAAGTGATTCTCATTCCTTGGCCTCCCAAGTAGCTGGGATTACAGGCGTCTGCCACCATGCCTGGCTAATTTTTGTGTTTTTAGTAGAGATGAGGTTTCACCATCTTGGCCATGCTGGTCTTGAACTCCTGACCTCATGATCCACCTGCCTCGGCCTCCCAAAGTGCTGGGATTACAGGCATGAGCCATCTCGGCCAGCCTCAGTAATGACTTTTATTGGCTCTACAGTCCATGTTGAAATGTTTAGTTTCTCCCAACCCTTACCTATCCACCCACACTCCCCAATTCTGCTTTGGTGTCATGTCAGTGCATCTGGGACTCTAACACTGGGTGCCTGCTTCAGAGGTCCCAGGCGCCTGCTTAGGGTGAGGACCCACTGGGCAGAAAGGGTAGGTGAATGCAATGTGAAAATAGAGGGAATCAGAGGCCACCCAGAGGCAGAGACCAGGAAGTGGGAATCAACATCGACTCCTGCCTGTCCCCGCTGTGCCATCATGCAGCCCTCTGCCTATCTTGCAAGGTCCCAGCCTGTCCCTTGGCTTGTTGGTTGTCTCTATGGCTGTGAACTCCCCACTTCTCAGAGGCCTCAGGGTGTGGCTGTGAGGACCCAACCTCTTCCTTCCTGACCACCTGGGACCTTTAGCAAGCCACCTGCCCTCCCTTCCACAATGATTTGTGCCCCCTCCCAGGGCTGGCATGAGGATCCAATGAGTTGGAGGGTGGGGAAGCGCTTTGTAAACTGGAAACCATATCCCAAGGATGCTAGCTACGGGGGCCTTAGGAGTACTGTGTTAAGCAGATGAGGGTAGTTAGCATCACGCTCCACAGATGCCAGTTGTTATAATGCTATTCAAACCCAATTAAGGCTGTACAGATGTGAGCTGTTTGTGTGTAGGGCTGCCAAGATCTCAGGCATACTGAGCAAGACATCTTTCAGTGCTTCAAAGATGTAACGTGGCATAGAGATGTTAGTTACAGCACTCCAAGGGGTTGGCTATTCTTAGAACAGGGCTGGGCTGATATGTGTCATTATAATACTATTCAGAGGTGTGCTCTGCAAAGTCAGCTTCCCCAAGCATTATACTAACACACACTGTTGGCCAGCCCCCTTTCTGCAGAGGTCTGTATCGCCATAGCTTCATATTCCTTTGAGCTGTCCCTCATAATTCTAGCCTCCTCCTGACCTGGAGCCAGGATGGTGCTAAGGTGGTGGGACTTGTGTGTTGCAGAAAACCCGCTACGAGACCTATGTGCAGCTGCTGGTGGCCCGTCTGCACTGCCCCTCTGATGCCCTGGACCTGTGGGAGGAACAGCTGGGGAGGGAAGCTGGAGGCACTCGGGAGCCCAAGTTCAGCCTGAAGAAGTCCCACTCGAGCCCGTCCCTGCACCAGGATGAGGCTCCCACCACGGCCAAGGTGAAGCGCAACATCTCAGAGCGCAGAACCTACCGGAAGATCATCCCCAAACGGAACCGCAATCAGCTTTGAAGACAGCGCCACCTCAGAGACACTGGCTCCTGCTCCAGGGTAGACCTGAGATAAACCTCCCTGGAAGAGACTTATTTCAATAAGTCCACCATGACAGATGAGGCACCTCCTTTTCCTGATGAAGGACAAACCTTGTTTCCCTGTGGCCCTCATTCCCATGCTCACTGAAGCTTCCCTAAGAGTGCTGTGCTCTCCCCAACCCCATGGCAGTCCCTCCAAAGCCCCAGTCCCTGACCACTCCCAAGGGAAAAGGCAGGTTGAGGACTTGACTTTACTCCCAGAGTTCATCCCACATCACCTTCCAAGCCCCAGAATCCAGAGTGGCCTCATTTCCTAGACCTGCTGGGTCTTCAGCACTAGTTTGAGAACCAGTGCATATATGGTGTGGCTCTGGCTTCTGGGGGAGAGCTTGGGGCAGCAGAGGCTTCTGGGCAGCCCAGCCAGGGGAGCCACAGCTCTGAGGATGGTCTTGCTCTGGGAATTAGGTGACCTTCCAGGGGAGGCCGCAGGAGAGTGAATCAGGGACTCTTGAGAGATTCCTAACTTGCCTCCTGTGACCCAGGGAGCAGGGTCACTAAGCTCCTGCCCATTGAGGGGATGGCCTTCTGGGCAGGGATGTCGGCAGGCTTCAAGGGCACCATGTGGCCGTGAGGCCCCATGTCTTTGTCTCCTTGTGTCTCCTTTTTTTCCTGTCATCTTCCTTTCCTTTGAGGCAGATGAAAGAGCCTCACACACCCAACTGCTAATCAACAGAGCGAGCTGATGGCATGAGTGAGGGCTGGGAGAGGTGGGGCCTCCAGAGCTCTGCAAAGAACCCTAGAAACAAGGAGCCTTTGTTCCAACAGAGCAGGGAAGGAGGCTCTCTAGGTTCAGACCACTGGAGAGGGTAGAGAGGTAAAGGGTGGTGACAGTTTCCCTTGGGGTCTGCCTGGCAGGAGCCACAACTTAGGAGAGTTGTGAGGGATGGGACCGAGGCAGGAGACCAGGTGAGGCCTAGGCCAGGCACTAGAGGTTCTTCTGTGCTCCTTCCTACACATGCCTTAAAGTTTCCTTCCTGTGGGTTGCCTGGACCCCTTCCCCATCTCTGGCAGCTCAGAGGGGCTCTGCTGCTCTCCCCTGGGAAATCCCCTTGTCTTGCCCTCTGGCTGCCTCCCAGCTTGGCCTGTTCTCTGAGGAAGGTTCCGGAGATTCATGGACTTGGGCTCTGCCTGTAGGAAGGAGGCTGGGCCGGAGGGAGCAGCCACCATTGTCTCTGTTCAGCCAAGTGTGCAAGTAGGCTACCCGCCAAGAGGGGGCCTCTGCTACCCGCTGCTGCCTGCCGGCTGACGCACTGCCTCCCCAGCCTTCCTGCTGGGCCACTCTCCTCCCTTCCCATGCTTGTAACCAGCTCTGGGGCCTGGACCTCCACAGTTAAGGCTGGCCCTTGGAGGACGTGTCTGGGGCTGGGCCATGCACCCAATGGGTGCACAATAAATACAGGTCAACAGAGACAAAGTTGTGTCAGTGTGTGAGGAAGGAAGGTCAGGCAGCTGGGACCACCCACAGTGTGGCAAGCTTCATCCCTCTGCCCCAAGTGTGTATGTGTGTCTGTGCATGTGTGTAGTGTCTGTGTCTGTGTGTTCATGCATATGCAGGAGTCACACGGTCATAGGCCGTCAAAGCTGGAGGAGACCTCAGAATCATTCATTCGCCTACTTGCTCATTTATTCATTCATTCATTTCGCAAATAATATGGGACACTTTCTACGGGCCAGTACTAGGGGATTTACAGATAAATTAAATGTCCCTGACTCCATGAGCTGACAATCATGTCCACCGGTTTCCAGCTCTCAGTTTAGAGATGCACTTTTATCTTGCTGGGCAAGTGTGCTGAAAAGACACATTCCCGCCCCACAGCCAGGGATGCTGATTCAGTCAGCCTGAGTCAGGGAGATAGATAGATAAATATGTTAAAGAGAAATAATATGTTTAAAGCTCCTTGGGTAACTCTGATGTGTAGTAGCAGTTACTACAGTAGAGTTCAACTGTCTCATTTGATTGAAGTGGAATCCCAGCATCAGGTGGACATGACTTTTGGCCCAAGACTTATGCTTACAGACTAAATGGCCTTGAGTAGGTTATTTGACCTCATTGAACATTCTTTCTTTTTCTGTTTTTTTTTTTTTTTTTTTTTTTTTCTGAGACCAAGTTTCACTTTTGTAACCCAGGCTGGAGTGCAATGGTGCTATCTCGGCTCACTGCAATTTCTACCTCCTGGGTTCTACTAGGTAGCTGGGATTATAGGCATGTGCCACCATACTCGGCTAAGTTTTGCATTTTTTTTCTTTTTCGAGACAGAGTCGTGCTCTGCCGTACAGGCTGGAGTGCAGTGGTGGGATCTTGGCTTACTGCAGACTCTGTCTCCCAGGTTCAAGTGATTCTTCTGCCTCAGCCTCCTGAGTAGCTGGAACTACAGGCATATGCCACCATTGCTGGGTAATTTTTGTACTTTTAGTAGAGATGCGGTTTCACCATGTTGGTCAGGCTGATCTTGAACTCGACCACGTGATCTGCTCACCTCAGCCCCCCAAAGTGCTGGGATTACAGGCGTGAGCCACCATGACTGGCCTAATTTTTGTATTTTTAATAGAGACGGGCTTTTGCCATGTTGGCCAGGCTGGTCTCGAACTCCTGACCTCAGATGGTCTGCCCACTTTGGCCTCCCAAGGTATTGGGATTACAGGTGTGAGCCACCATGCCCGGCCTATGCATCCTTATTTCTAAAACTGTGATAAAAGGTGAAAGTTTGAATGCATGTGTGTGTGACACTTTGCTGCTCCTTTGCTCATGCAGAACCGGCACCTCTCTTTCACCTGAGCACAGGGAGTCTTCAGAGCCAGATGACAGTGGCTGCCTGGCCTCTCATAGTCAATGCTGCCCAGGAACCCGTCTGGAGGGTGTGGTTTGCGGGCTGCAGATATGATATATGACCACTTGGAGGCAGCCTTGCGTCTTTATAGCTTCTGGCTGCTCAGGTGTCCTGTTGTGGAGCTGAGCTGTGCTCCCTGAAAGCCAGGAAGTTATTATGTGTGCCACTGTGCCATCGCAGAACCAGGGCCTTCAGCTTTGCAAAACCCACAGTGGCCCAGGCCAGGACTCCCACCATCTAGGGATGCCTCTCCCATGGAGAAGGTTGGGGCTCTGACATCTTCCTGGAGATGGAGAGAAAGAAAGACATCTCCGCAGTCTGTGGGAACAGTCTACAGCTCCCCACAGGGTTGCTTCAGGTAGTCCTGGAAGGTGAAAACAGAGAGGGCCGCAGTCTCCATCCTGGGTACGAAACAGATCAAACCACCATAGGCCTATGTCTCACCTTGTCCCCACCCCATGCTCCTCTCCCACCTGTGGAGTGGGTCGGTCCTTCTCTTTGCTGGAGAAGGGATAGACAGAAGTTCTCGGTGATGAGCTCAGGCTCTGGAAGGGCCGTGGACGTTTGGGTTTAGTTCTTTCTTTCCCATATAGGGAGTTCAGCTTCCAGAGGCCTGGGCCTGCTGTGAGCCAGGATGACACTCCTGATAGAGCTCTTCCTGGGCTCTCGTGATCTCTGCTGAGCCTGGCTTTCTGCTGATGACATTTGTTTGTTGCTTGCCAGGCGCCAGGGAAGACGAAAAGATCACTAAGGCCTATCTTTTTCCTTAGGAGGCTCCGGGTCTTCGGGAGATGAAGACATATGGAATGTGTTGAAGTTGGAAGGAGCGGGACTGGAGGGTCGGGGTGAGGGGGGCTGAGGGAACAGGGCCATCAATCAGGGTGGCCTGAGCCCAGATCATTCAGGGCCTCCAATGCAGCCAAGGAGAGTGGCTTGTGAATGTGCAGTGCTATTTTTTTTTTTCTTTTTGATATAGAGCCCCTCTCTGTCACCCAGGCTGGAGTGCGATGGCGCGATCTCTGCTCACTGCAACCTCTGCCTCCTGTGTTCAAGCAATTTTGCTGCCCCAGCCTCCCAAGTAGCTAGGATTAGAAGCATGTGCCACCATGCCCAGCTAATTTTGTATTTTTTAGTAGAGATGGAGTTTCACCATGTTGGTCAGGCTGGTCTTGAACTCCTGACCTCAAGTCATCCACCCGCCTCGGCCTCCCAAAGTGCTGGGATTACAGGCGTGAGCCACCGGGCCAGGCCAGTGCAGTGCAATTTTTAAAGAGAAGAGTGATAGGCTCAGGGCTTGGGGGACAGCCTAGGGATTTTGTTATAAGAAGGTGAGCTTTTATCTGGCCAGCACTTTGGGAGGCTGAGGCAGGAAGATCACTTGAGGTCAGGAGTTCGAGACCAGCCTGGCCAACATGGAGAAAACCTGTCTCTACTAAAATAAAAAATTAGTTGGGCATGGTGGTGTATGCCTATAATCTCAGCTACTCGGGAGACTGAGGCAGGAGAATGGCTTGACCCAGGAGGTGGAGGTTGCAGTGAGCCGAAGTCATGCCATTGCACTCCAACCTGGGCAACAGAGCAAGACTCTGTCTCTGAATAAGTAAGGCCAATAGGTAGGGTAAGAATATGGCCTGCAAATGCACATTATTTGTGTAACTTATACGTAAATCTGAAATTATTTCAAAATCAATATGAAAAGAAAGAAAAAGACAATATCCTTGAACCTTGTGAAAACCCGGCCATAGCAGGTCCTCTTTCCTCCCTGTCCCCATAGGCAGGCTCACAGGTCCTCAGGCTTTCCTGAATGGCTTCTGTCCTCCCCACTGGCCCTTCTGCCAACGCCGCTGACCTCCAGCTTTTCTGATGCCCATGCCCCCCACCAGCTACCGTGGCTTGCACCTTTACCTGTTCCCTTCACTGTCCCTTCTCCAGAGAAGAGGTGCTCTCCACTGCCTGTGACCAATCGTCCCTCCAGCCAGCATGCTGGCCCCTTTCTCCTGCCTGCCGCAGACCTCTCTCCTTCATGGGTCCATTGGGGCTCTTTGGGCCTATTCTCTACCCGCTTCATTATCATGCCTTGCAAACACCACCATGAGCAAAAATCAAAGCTGGTGTTAGACACTCTTGCTTTTCAATAGCTGAGCCTGGCTTCCCTGCTTCCTGTGATAAACTCACGGAATATGTGGGCTTTGCCAGCTGTTCCCAGCCCTCACCAGGTTCCCATTCATACCTGGCTCTAATTCACACCTTACAAATCAGCATCTATCCCACCTCTGCCTGAAATGCCACCTCCTAGGGGCATTGATGGCTTCAGACATCAACTCCAGTGCCTTCTCAGCTTTCTTCCCCACTCACCTCTCAGTGACCTTTGGCCTTGGTAGCCACGTGATCATCTACCAGACCCTGCACCAAAGCTCAGCCTGATCTTGCCCTGGTGGCCAGGCCCTTGAGTGGGACTGCTGGGAATTGAGTCCAGCTGTGGCTTTTCTAGTCATCTGACCGTGACCGGTTAGCCTCTTATGTTCTGTTTGTTTCTCTATAAAATGGGGATAATAACACTACTTATGTCGTAAGGTCCTCGTGAAGATTAAGTGAAATTATGCACGTAAACATCTCAGAACAATGCCTGGCACAGAAGGAACGCCTGTGAGGTTAGCTATTAATTCATAGCCTCACCAGACTTACCCCACGTCCACTCCCCTCCTCCTCTGGGCTCTGGTTTAGGCTCTGCCCTCAAGCATGCGATCCTGCATGATGCTGGGTCTCTGCATTTGGCTATGCCTTGGCCCACAAGTAACAAATCTGAGCTCATGAGCTTTAGCAGTAAAGGACTTTGAATGGTTCCAATAATTGAATCATCTGTGTCCCGGTAAGGTGAGGCTTCATTTAGGGCTCCACTCTGATCAAAGGCCCCTTTTCTCTCCTGTTCTTCTGGGGTCCACCTTCCAGGCCTATGAGTAGGAGCAACCCTAATGCTTCCAAGATGGCCCCAGGAGCTCCCAAGATCCCTTTTCTTGGTGCATATCTAGCAGAAAGTGACTCTGTTTCCTGGAAGCTTCAAACTCCGATCTAGGAATAGTCTCCTGGAGCAGCCTGCCTTGAGCCATGTGCCCATATCTGAGACAGTCACTAGGGCCAGAGGTTTAAGGTGATCAGAGCCCACGTCTGGAAAGGATGAGAGTGAAGCCAGTACCATCCAGAGCATAGGGATTAGCTGCGGAGAAATTCTGAGTACTAGAAGGACTGGCTAGGAGGAACGGATGATGGGGAGAAAACCAACTAATATGCAGATGCCCTTTCCTCCAGGAGGCCTTCCCTAAATCTTCCTCCTTCAGTTTCTATCACATCAAACTCTGTAACTCTCCTCTCCCCTCCTCTTCATTTCTCTTTTGCCTCTCTGTTTCTAGAGCAACATAAACTCCCCATGGGAGTTGTTGATTTCCACTGCTCCCCCAGGGCCCGATATCTAGAGTCGAAAGAATGCACATCTCAAAACTATCTCCTGGTTCTTTTTCTACTTTCTCGCATATTCTTCTTCTGTTTTTCCTGCTACTCCCTCTTGCTCTTCCCACCCCTAAACTCTGTAGCCTCAAAGATCTTACCTGGCTGACTACTAGGCTTTCAAAAGAGTTTCTGAAAGAAGTCTCTAAATCTGAGCCTTCAACTCTCAACTCTGTTCTGAATTTCTGACCTGGAATTCTAACTGTCCATAATACATGACTCCTCAATACATCTTCCTGGAAATTACAAATGACCATATGGTACAGGTGCTACTTATTACCTGTAAGAGCACACTTGGTGTCATCTCTTGCAAGCTCTCCTGACTCCCTCGTTTCTGTGAGTGATTCTGCCATGGCTTGAGCTCATCCGCTGCTTTGAAAGATCACACA